GAAGTAACAAAACTCCACGAAAAATGACGTATGTTCTGCCTGATATGTGGATCCTAGCACCAAATCCTGATAAGTGAGTATGTATCCAGACATAACTACAGGAACCAGGATAACGAAAAGGAACCAAGGATGTCAAGGAAAATAAAGAACCTGAAAGAGAAGAACAGTAGGAAACAGGCCTTAATAAGGGAGATATGGATAAAAATTGGGTTAGTTCAAGGGAGTGGGGAGGGACGTGTATACAAGGAACCTAGGGGATTAAGGGAAAGAAGGAGCTCAAGAGAGGTAGGACCATAGGAGAAGGGTATTAGTAAGGGAGAAAGGGGGAAAATGGGGGCACCTTAAGTGGGAAAACCATGATGGAGGGGTGAGACAATGTGAGAGATAAACAATGCCTACCTAGTTTTAAAAACCAGAGGGAACCATATTACTCCTATAACCTGCTGACAAATTATACATAGCAGATCAATAAATATATGTCTAGGTAAGGTTTATCTGAGAACAACTGGTCTTCGCCCAAGATTTATCTATATGACACACACAGTAATTAAATTCCTTGCCCTCCTAGGTCGACTAGTTCCAGGGACTATGAGCATCTCTCAAAATGTCCTGTAATTGTGGTGGGTCACCTGTCCTCTTGATCAAGGAGGCCGAGGAGACCCCACCAGAGGGACTTGAACCAGTGTCCAGTCTACAAAGAGGAGGGTCAACACAGTGTTATCACTTCCTCCATACTTCCAAGCGAAGCCTACCATGGTTGAGCAGGACCTTTGACTTATCTTCACATAGATGGAACTGGTAAAAGAAAGGAGCCAGGGGCTCCTTCCAAGCCCATGTGACCCCTGAGGAACATCTCCTCAAATTACCTTAAGAGTAAAAATAAATTGGTTTATCTGGACCAACTGTATGGCCTTAAACGCCCAAAAGGAAAGTATAACCAAAGATTAAAGGGGCCACTATAATTTCATAAGAGTCCATATGTATAGCTAAAGGCTACATAACAAGCAACAATTTCAGACAGGTGATATCTTCTTTTGAGTTGCTGGTCAAGGTGGACAAAGGGATTCCCAGATAGTAACCCAGCCTAGAACTGGGAAATTGAACAGCAGACCCCAATCTTATCCAAAGGAATATTGACAACTGATTACCACTAGATGAGGAACAGCTGACCCTCCTAAAACAAAGACCTCTAGATAGGCTAACTAGATTCACCAGAAGGGCAAGTAGTGGGGAATGGCTGGGGGGTGCCGACAACACAGCAGACAGTAGCAGGGATATCAGAGTATAAGGGCTCTAGTGGTGGGAGGGAGGCCATGGGAGGGTGCTACCTGGGAAGTGGAGGCTATGGGAGGGTGCTACCTGGAAAGTGGGTGTATAAATAAAATAATAATAATAGTAATTCTTCAAAGCATAAATATTTGCTCCTTAATGATTAGTAAATGTGAGAAACATTACGACTGAAATCTACTTGATGACTTTATATCCAAGCTCAGATGCCAAGGAGCTCAGAAATTAGCCGACTGTGACTAGTAATCATCAGATATATAGAGATTAGAAACGCACGTGCATCTTAGTGTCAATTGTATTAAAAATGAACTTTCTGTATGAAACTGTGTATTTTAATAATGAAATGGAGGTCTTTTTAAAAGTTTAAAACCTCACTTAATTTTATGTCTTATATGGTTTATACAGAGTACAATATTGTATAACTGTATTAATTCAACTGTAAACCTAAAAATTTACAGCCAATTTTGAAAGAGATGCATCTTAGCTCTGGAAATTGTTATTGAATATGTCAATGCTGTTGTAATGAAATGCTTCCTCTAATTAAAAAAAATAAATCAGATTAAAAAAAAGAGGATCAGAATAAAAGAACCCAACTTTTCCTCAGCCAGATTACCAAGGTAGGTGAGGTTATCTGGCAAATTGCTACCATCAAAACCACTGAACCATGTGAATTTATTGTTATTCAATAAATTTGGGCATTGTAGAACACAGTTGTGTTTGTCTATGCTTCCAGCACAGCATGCTCTGGACATTATTATAATGCCTAAAACTAACATAATGTCTAAGTGTCAAGTATCTTGGTTGCCTGAGAAAAATCAGAGGTGATTTGACTCGATATGCCATTTATTATAAGGCATTTTAATGGACTTTTAAATAAATGAATAAATAATTTTGAAGGGGGAAAAAAAAAACCCGGGTGGAGGGCCAGATGTGGTGGCACAAGCCTTTAATCCCAGCACTCAGGAGGCAGAGGCAGGTGGACCTCTATGAGTTATAGGCCAGCCTGGTCTACATGGCAAGTTCCAAGCGAGCCAGGGCTGCACAGTGAGACTCTGTCCATAAAACAAAGCAAAACAAAACAAAACAAAAACAAAAAGCTGGTGGTATGAAATGTTTATAACTAGAATAACACCAAGTATTTGAATACTTTTAAGGAATAACAATAAAACACAGCTAACTCACTTCTGTTTCTTCCATAAATCAAAAACACTTATGGTGGGAAGACAAAAGTTCCCTTTTTCTTCCTCAGCATTTCTGAACACACACTCACCTCCTCCTTGGAGGCCTCTGAGTCAAGCTGCAGTGTGAGATACATGGTAATGTGTGGGGTGCCCAGGATACTGTGCTGGATGCCTTCAGCCTCTTCCCCACACAGGAATTTGACTACATCATTCTTGTTGGACTGTGCTTTTTTCTTTCTTGGTTGAGTTGTTTCCTTTTTTACTGCATACGCATTTTCAAATGTCAGTTTCACCTGAAAAAATTAAACAATATGTTGGATTTTTTTCAACAAAACAAAAATCAGATTTTTTTTTTTTTCACAAAGAAAGGAGAAAGGGCTGTAGTGGCACATGCAGTCAGGTGTGTACAGGATAGAGACTATACCCCAGCTGCTGATGCAGAGAGCCATGGGTTCATTTACACCTCCAGCTGTTTGCACAGTGGCAAGCACAAATGTTTACTGAGTGAAAATGTATAATTCTCTGTACTAAAAGTCACTCATTCAAGTATAATGGAAAGAACAGAAATCAGTGCATTTTGAGTGTAGAGTAGCAAAGCTGTACATCATGACCAATGACCTAACTCATCTAAAGAAGTCAAGAGGGAGAGAATCAGGGTTGCCTTTTCTTTCAAGTGAGGTGTAGTTCAACCATTCTTTTCTCAGACATTCTTTGTGGTCCTCAAAAATAAAGGCCAAGGATAGTATAAACAGCCAGCATGCAGCACCCTGGACCATGGCTCTAAGAAATTATTTGTCAGTTTTATCACTATGGTTTTAATTTCATGGCCTGATGTCAAGATAGTTCAGAATCCAGAATATTGCAATTTCCAGGTACTAGAAGGTTATTAAAATACACAGTTACCTTTCCTTGAAAATAGAGCTACTCACCCAGTGTCAGCTGACAAAGACAACTCATTTCAAAGAAGAACAAATGTACTAATGTGTATCATCATTACTATTGTATAAGTTCATCATCATAAGCTACACCACTATACAGTGCTCCTAATGTTTAAATCTTAGACTGCAGATGAGTAAGGCACATTCTAAAGGTAGTAATCCATAGTTTTACATTTAAAAGTCGATGATTCTTTTAAAGATAAAATTAAGCCAGATGGGCAGATCTATGTGAGATCAAGGCCAGCTCGGTCTACACAGTGAGTTCCAGGCTATCCAGGGTTGCACAGTGAGACCTTGTCTGAAAAATTAAAATAAAATATAAAAGTAAAAAACAACCCCCCCAAGCTCATGTTTGAACAAGAATAAAGAAGCCTAACTAATGTTTGAAAGCGGGTAACTGTGTGAATGTAACAAGTTATACTTGGAGGGAAAATATTTAAAGATTATTGAGATAATACAAACTAATCCCTATTTTAATAATTTATTGTAAGAGGTACCATTTTCAAGGCTAACTCTAAATAAGTGAGAAATACTAAAACATTATGACCACCTTTTTAAAATGAGCATTAGGGGCTGGAGAGATGGCTCAGGAGTTAAGAACACTGGCTGCTCTTGCAGAAGATATGGGTTGGGTTCCCAGCAACCACATGGTGACTAACAACTGTTCTTAACTGTCTCCTGTTCCAGGGGATCTGACACCCTCATCTGACCTCTACAGACACTGCCTGACATGGATGCACTTATATACATGCAGACAATACGCCCATGTATATAAAAATAAAATATTTTTTTAAAAATATTTTTTAAAAATAAAAATGAGCTTTAAATACTTTTATTTAAAATGTTAAGTATATTTAAAAACCACTCATCTTGAAATTTGCCCTGCTCTGACTTTTTCTGGTTCCGTCTAGAACTTGTAATGCTAAGTACTCTTGCCTTTATTTCTTCACATCTCCTAGGCACCAGTCAAGGACTTTCTTTTCTCACTACAGTTGAGGTATGAAATTTGGGAGTCTTTAGATAGCACCCTGGAGGGGTACCCCAATTGCCTCATCCTGTATCTCTGTTCAGCATGGAAGAAGCCAGAGTGGTCTGCATATGGATTCCTTATCAGCAATTTGGGTAACCTCTTCAGAGGATGGTGTGATAAAAATAGGAGGTAAGAATTGGCTAGGCAGTTAGGGTAAAAAAGACCCCTAAGAAAGGCCAGTTTCTTGGTTAAAAGTCAAAATATCTTGAGCCTCTTAGCGACATACTCTGTTCCAAAGGCCAAAAATGTCAAAAGTATTTGGGAGCTCTTATCTAATCCCTAAAATATTTTAGGGTTTCCTCTTCAGAGGGGGAATGTTAGAGTAGCAAAAAGTTCCATTAAAAAAAAAGAAAGAAGAAGAACTAGTACATGAAATTGTCAGGAAAAAGTGATGGGGAGATATGGGAGGAGCTGGAGGGGAGGAAGTGGCATGGATTTGATCAAAACACCTTATATGCATGTATGAAATTCTCAATAATTTCTTTTTAAAGTTAAAAAATCCACTCATCACTCTATCTACCCACCTAAATGTTATTGGTATTATAGTGTAAAAACAAACCTATTTTGAACAAAACTATCCAAAAGATAAAAAAAATCACAACATTTCTTTTGTTGTCCAGAGTGAGTGTTTATGGTTGTATTTGTTTATCTGCAGCTCGTGGCCCCTTTTATTAACACCTTTGTTGTCAAACTAAAGTGAAATAAGTTACATAGTATCTTTTCTAAACCTCAGGTTTTATTTTGTAAACAAGTTGCTACTGTTTGGAAAGTGTCTCCCAAGCTAAACAAAAATACAAAAACTTAGCAACTCTATGTAAGAATATCAAAGGTTTCCCTCTTAGGTGTGAAAAAGAATATTTGGGGCTGGTGAGATGGCTCATCAGGTAAATGTACTTGCTGCCAAACCTGATGAGCCTAGTGTGATCCTTGGAACAGTAGAAGGAGAGCACCAAGTCCTGCAAGCTATCCTCTGACCTCCACATGTGCAGGGTGGCACCTGCACACACACACACACACACAAATATATAAAAATAATATTTGGCATGAGGTTCTCACATAAATAGGCTACAAGTAAACATTATGTGGTATGAAAGACAACAGTTATTCCAGGGCAGGGATGTCATAACAAGAGGACCACAAGAGTCCTTAGAGGAAGAGCCATGACTCACACCAGGAGGGCATATTTTCAGCTGAGATTCTTGTGGATGGAGAAGTCAGAAGATAGGGTGTGACTCACCAAAAATGGCAAAAGGAAATAAGCTGGTAGACCCCAAAATTCACTAATTTTACTGTGGGCAACAGCAATAACCTAAAACTTAAGACTGGTTTTCTATGCTTTGTTGGGGGCTCCTGCTGTGTAAAGTAGCAGTCTCTTCATGTCTTGAAAGCCCACGGGCTCGGATTCAAATGCAGAGACTCCTTTTTCAGCAGGATGCTTTTCTGGCATCTTCCTGACTCATCTTTTGAAGTAGCCACCCCAAAAACATGGCCTCCGGCTCTGGAAACTGCCAGCCTTTCCTGTGTGATTTTTCAGGCAGTCTGGCAGCCTGGCAGGAGCCCACTTCCA